TAACCAACACAAAAAATCGCTCTAATTGCGAGTGTGAAGTCAAACTGCTTTGTAGAAGCAAAAAGTCCTCTCTCTTGATCTGCAGCTTATTTGTTATTGATGCTTATCTCTGATGATAAAAACTGTAATTAAAAATCCTGGACAATGAAGTTCTTGTCGTTTTTTCAAAAATCCGTAAATTTTCGACGCTCTACATTTCCATTCGGTTATTTAGCAAACACAGTTTTTTTATTTTTTTTTTTTTTAAGAGTTTCAGTGAACAGACAATAATTTCAGCTTTTAATTGATGCAGATCCCAGTACAGTTGATGCAGTGAACAACGCCAAGGAGTCGCCACTGCATCTGTCGGCTCAACACGGTCATGGCAAAGTGGTCGCTGCATTACTCGCTGTATCCTTTTTATGCATTTCTGCATGCTCAGTTTGAGCAGGAGTAATAAGATTTCGTGTGTGTATGTGCATATGTGATTTGTCTTTTTTGTACGGCCGAATGATTTAGCTATGGAACTGTGAAAATTAGAAAGCGTAAACCGTGAGAACATTACCTTTGATCGTGTACGGAGTCGCCAGTGTCGGAATCCATTTTTAAGTGACATTACATCCTGAACTATGGGCTCAAGTCTGTTTTTTAAGTCAGTTTTGTTGTCTCTGAGCGAATTGGATAGTTTAATTCAGGACGCAATTGGAGTTTTTTAAATTAAGATTTAATTGCCAAATTTGTTATATCAGAGCTTGTAAATTCAGGGCTAAATTTAATTTAGTTCTCACTTTCATAATTTGGCGAGCGAGAAACTTGAAATTTGGAGGTTCCAGTTAGCAGTACATAGCGACATGAATGAGCTTAAATTAGCTTTAAACTCTTTTTATTTCCTGTCCAATGAGCACTTGTAGTACGAGCTGAATTTATAGTCTCACAGCGAAGGAGGCCATAGGAGCGATATTTTTCATGCATTAAATAAATGGTTAAAACGCGTTTGCCTGAGTTAGGAAATATTTTTGCAGCAGGCATTAGTAGGGTCAATGTATCTTGCTGTTATTTCATAGTTTGTTGATCTAATATAAAGATAGGGACGACTTAGCGCGGTAGCCTCTCCTCCTTCAAATACAGTTTTGTCCTAGAAGCAGAAAACGTCTGACTGGAAATCTCAGCTTACTTTTACACTTTTCGTGGCCTCCTCTCTCGTTTCACACAAATCCTGGCTGCCATAGGCTCTTGAGAAACTTGATTTCCCTGCTATATTTTTGGGTACAGCTTAAAAATTTTCAACTTTTGCAGAAGCATGCCGATGCACGGCTGAGGAATGCTCGATCTGAAACCGCACTTGATGTAGCGGCACGTCTTGGCAAGGCAAACGTTTGTCGCTTGATCATATGCAATTGTCCAGAATTAGCACTGCAGGTTAGCATTTTATACTTTTTTAAAAAGACAGCTTAGTAGCTGTTGAGGTAAAAATGCACTGGCATGCAAAAACTTGATCCAGGAAAAAACAATAAGTTTTTTCTTTATAAAAAAAAATCGTTGACCATTATCATAATTCATTCATTGCAAATGGCGGAGGTATACAGTACGAGTGGTAACACGTGCCAAAACCAGTCACTCGTTGGTGCTGGCGTATGCCAGGAAAAATCGCCAGCAATTTGCTTCCAAACAGTTCTCGGAAGCAGTACCCATTACAGTCTTTGTCGTTGGGTCTCATGTCCGAGGGTTGCTTAGAAACAAATTATTTCCGAATTCTGGCATATGCCAGCCCGAATTTTCCATTAAAACGGGTGAGTGAATCATGGAAGTATTAGTATCGGTCGTCTATTGGCGGAATCGACCCCCACACTTTTTTAGCGTGAGAAATTTGCGAATCCAGCACAGTTTCATGACTGAGATGTTGGAAGAAACGAGAATCGAAACCCGCTATATAATCTTTGTCATTTTTTTTTCCAGATATTCTGAACTGCTGTAATAACAAAAATTTTCATTTCGCATCACACATCCTGCATCACGATTTATCTGTTTCCAGAGTGCTGCAGAATGCATGACAACGGATCCAGAAAAATCACGACATTTGGCCCAAGTT